GATAGGCACCCTCGCCATTCAAGTAAGTTCTCCCAACTCGAATTAAGATTCGGGCCACGTAAAGTTCGGCCCCGGTCAAACTACGAGGCCGCGTTTTTTACCATCACGACCGGTAGTTCGACCGCGTCCGAACTCGGACTAAGGCTAAGCGCCGCTATCGCCAAATAACAGCTAAGACTCGCCCGCACCGAGTTGAAAAAGCAAGGCCATCAACTATATTATAGCTAAGGCCATCGCCGCCAACGGTCGACCTAGATTCGACTACGGTGAGTAAACGACCCGACGACAGTCGAAGTCACCTACATGGCTAAGGCCATCAACTATATTATGGCTAAGGTCATCGCCGCCAACGGTCGACCTAGATTCGACTGCGGTGGGTAAACGACCCGACGACGGTCGAAGTTGCCTTTATGGCTAAGGCCGTCGATTCTATCACGAATAAAGTCGTCGATCTAAATTCGACTAGGGCCGCCAACGCGAACGGGCAACAAAAAGCGCAACAAAAACTAAAAAGAACGAAAGAAAAACAGTGACACAAAACAAGCACAAGGCAGGCAATGGAAAAGAAAATTTACATATTTACAAAGTCAATTGCGGGTCATCCCCGCTTAGACCCGGCCAAGGCCGATCAATACAAGAAATAAAAAAAAAACAAGAAACACCTAAACGCCAAACGGCGAACGGCGAACAAGACAAGAAAAAATGCATAAACATCTTTTTACTCGGTGCCGTCTGCGCCACCGTCTGCACCAGCGTCAGCCTCTGGCGTCGCCGCGTCAAAACCACAGTCGGCACGTGCCTCACGAGCCTTCTAACGCGCCGCCTCGAAAGCAGCTTCGGTCACGACGCCAGCCTCCCACAAACTCTTATATACATCACGTTGGGCCTCGGCAAAGACCCGAAGTTCTCGAGCCTGGCTGGAAGAAGCGGCTTGATCCCGTAGCCGCTGATTCTCTTCTTCTAAGGCTGTGATCCGGTCCGCCATGACCTGGGCGTCCTGCTCAAAGACACCAATCCGCTCCTCGAGACTCGCTTCTCTAAAGGTCGCAGCATCCCTTTCCAATGCCCGTTGGGATTCGTGCACGCGGATAGCTTCCTTCAATGCCCCAGCCCTCGACGAGGCATCCCTCACTTGAAGCTTCAATCACGCGACTTCACCCTCCAACGCGGTCACTTTCCCGCTCCATGCCGCAGCGGCCTCCGCCGCCTTAGCCTGGCCCTGGCGCTCACACTCAGCTGCGACCCTCTTTACCGCCTCGAGCTCCTCATCCTTCCGGCGGAGCTGCTCCTCGAGAGCACTCATTCTGCCAAGTGTTTGCTGCATCTGAAGCTCCCGCCTCGCCAGCTCTTCGACCAAGGCCCGGCTACGGGGATCATTCCTCAAGCGCACACGTAACTCTCGGCACTGATCTCGGTAGCGGCGATAGTTCTCCAACGCCCGCAATAATATCCCCGAGCGGACCTTGGCTCGACGGATGCTCTCCACCTCCAACAGATAAGACTGCAAAGCAAAGACAACGATTAGTATAAAGAACAAACTTAAGGCAAAGAAGAAGCGAACCGACTTACTAGTACATACCCTCAAGCCCATCACGGCTACTTCATTTATCAGTCCGACATCCGTAATGCCCCTCAACGACGCATTCTCGGCCTCCGAGCATAGCAGCTCGAACTGCGGCACCAAGCTTTCCCCTTGGAGTAATAAGTTCAATTCCGTGGGAACCTCGATGAAGCGGGATCGCCCCCCTGCGCGCACCGCTGAATTGGTGGAGCCTTCCTGGAACATACGGACGTCGTCGGGGTCCAAGTCGGATTCAGACTCGTCCTCACCCCCTACAGCATCTCTTCCCCCTTCAGCCGCCGGCAAGGTGGAACCTCCCGTCGCAGCCGTCATAGGGGCGCTTAACTTACCAACATTACCAACCGCTGAGGAACTACCTCCCGTCTCAGCGACTGGAACCACCGACTGAGTCGCCGAAGCTACGACACCCTCACGGCCTAAGCCAGCCAGGGCAACCCCCATTGACTGTTCGCCCTCAAGAGCGGGCGCCACATCCGCACCCCTCTCCGCATCCGTCGGAGGGGAGTCCAGATTGCTTACCACAGGAGGAGCCGGCGTGAACACAACCCTGCGCCTTATCAAGGGCCTCTCCTCCTCCCCGTCTAATGACGATTCTGCCCTAGGGCGCACAACCCCCGACGGCCCCTCATCCCGAAGCGCGGCCCATATTGGAGAAGGAACCGCTGAAGATTCAACTGATGCCGCCCTCGGTATTGAGCGCGACACAGGTGTCGCAGTAAGCCGAGCGACTGCACCTGGTCGATGGAAGGCCAACTGAGGGGCCCTGACGCGGCGTGCCCTCCTTGATCACAGAAAAACAAAATTGAGGAATAGTGTCGAAACAAAGCGGAACAGAAGAAGAAGTCAATTTTTCTTAGCTGCCACAGGACTACAGCCATGCCTCTCCCAGAAAGACGCCCATGTGCGTATCCCCACCGTATGGGGGAGCACGGCCTCAACCCATCCGTGAATCCCAGCTAACGAAGCCGGCTGCGATTTTTCGGCTACAAAATTGACACGAGTTAACGCTTACGAGCACAAGACATAAGGAAGGGTAAAAAAAAAAGAGGATTCAATGGCTAAGGAACTTACGTGCATGATTCCAAGCCTCTGGGAATCCAGTAGAGCACGCCACTAAATGTTCAGTCCTGATATAGAAGAAGTGCTCGAAAGGGCGAGGTTCAACCTCATCATCCAGCTTCGCAGTCAGGCCCCTCGTCCCGCGAGGGCACGCTCGAATCATGGTACCCCGAACCCTCTGGGGAGCGTAGAGGCTAAGCACATGCTGCAGCGTAATCTCCCTNTCGACCCACTCACGTATCCAAGAAAATGGGGCCGGCGGCGACCTGTCGCTACAAAAAACGACACGAGTTAACGCTCATGATCACAAATCATAAAGAGGGGAAGAAAAGGGAATTCAACCACTAAAGAACTTACGTGCATGATTCCAAGCCTCTGGGAACCCAGTAGCATCCGCCACCAGATGCTTGGTCCGGATGTAAAAGAAGTGCTCGAAAGGGCGAGGGTCGACCTCGTCATCCAATCTCGTGACCAGGCCCCTCGACCCACGAGGGCACACCTGAATCATGGTGCCACGGACTCTCTGGGGAGCGTAGAGACTCAGCACATGCTGTAGCGTGACCTCCCTACGGGCCAACTCCGCGTACTTGATGAACATTGCCAACAATTTGTAGAGGGAAGGAGTGAGCTGACCCGGGCACACCCCGTAATAACAGCAGAAATCCACCACCAGCATTGGGAGCGGAATCTTGAACCCCAACCTGAAAGGATAGGCGTAAAAAACGCAGTATCCCCTGCGGTCGGTGTGAAACCTCTCCTCGCTTCTAGCAAGAATGATGTCTGCATGGGTGGGAATGACCCCCTGTTCCCGTAATCGGGCCACCCCAATCTCCCCCATTAACGGGGCTTCGTCCACCGGTTCCACTCCACCGTCGACAGTGAAATCAATCGCCGGACCTCCGGGCCGAGGAACTACCTCGTCAACCGACGGAACTTCTCCGGTCTCTATCTGTTCTGCACCTCCCATTGCCGGAGGTGGCCCTTCAACTACCGGAATGTCTATCGGAAGAGCATCGTGGGAAGAACTGCCTGTCATTGTTGATCTACTAAAGACAAAGGTTATCACAACCAAAGGAAAGAAAGGAGAAGATGAATTTGCGGAATGAAAAAGTTTCCTCAGAATCTCTCTCAGATGAACAATGAAGATATGAGGAATGAATGCCTCAACCCACCTTTATAGGCAACATAAATGGCTTTCGCGAAACCCAATAGCCATCATTAACTGCACGACCAACCGTAAAACGGTTCGGTTCTGTCGAAGCAAGCGTCATTATGACCAGCTCCGCAAAGCGACTTCTCAGCCATCCGCCAACGTGCCGCCGTCAGAATAATCGCTACGGCCTGCAAACATTGAAAGAATGTGCCGTACGCCTTCAAAATTCTGGACGTGACCAAATACGTACCCGGTGCATACTCATTCCCTACGGCTATCTTCAATATATGAAAGGCTACGGCCATCTCCAACGTATAAACGGCTAAGGCCGTCGCCGAGCACGTATCAAGCATGCCCTCATACTCCTCGGCCGCACAACGTACGACCCGTCCGCCATGACCGACGGGTATGCTTCCAAAACAAACGTAGGGATCAGAGCACAATGCAGCTCGACCTCACTCGAAGTAAGTTAAAAGGGTGCCTTCGCCCAGAAGGAGAATTCAACCTTGATCGAACTATGACTTGATAGCCCCATAACAGGATACTAATACTCTACAAGGCTAAGGGCCACCGCCAATAAGAATTCGGCTTCGACCGAAGCAATAGTCGACATCTCCATTCGTGTTTCCCGAAATACAGCCAATGGAATCCGCTCATCGAGCTCGGCCAAGGCCCGACCTCAATAAGCGGAGGGAGTAACTGTATGGGTCAGAATTCGACCCCACGATAATTAACGAGGCTAATCCCGTTTTAAGTTAATTCATGATTAATTAATGGCACGACCACTCAGAATTGACGATGTTCAACCCGCATCTGGTTTGATCGACAAGGCCATGGCCTATCCGCCACCATAAAGGCGAGATCCCAACATGGCCACGGCCACTTATCACCAGACCACGAAGCTCACAGCTATAAATACTAAGAGTGGAAGTCCTAGAAAGGGGGGCTGCTTCTTCACCACTATAGAGAGAGAGAAAGGAGAAAAACACACCCATCTTATGGGAAGTAAAAACACCATAATAAGGCTCTGAACCTCTTCATGGAGAGGCAGACCAAACCAATATTATCAATAAAGGCTTCCAATGTTTCTCCCCCTAACCTTGAGTACTTATTTTCATGTTCTTCGCTTGGTCCAATGGATTATTACGATTTGCTATGATTTTCCCGTAACTTATTTGTATTGTTTTGCACTCATAAAGCACATGATAACTTTTGAGCAAACAGTAATATTGGAAGGAACACACACTCAACAAAACATTTTAACAATGAAAATTCAAGCCCTTAGGAACTCTTAGAAGAGTTTGATCCAACTCCATAATCACTTAAGAGTGACTGATCATCTAAAGCTTAAACTTTAAAGTGCACATTTTAATTTATTATTATATCTCGACACGTCTTCATCTCTCATCGTGCGGACCTGATTCTATTTTATCGTTCAAACATAAACCGAAGGATTTGCGAGGAGGTAATCTTCAACAGTCTTGAAAAGTTCCATGGCTTGATTTTTGCCTTCATTGTGTTCTTCTTCTTTAAATACATAATCACCCTTTGTGTGGTACTCAGTTGATGTCTTGCAAATACACCCTCCATTTCCAGATGCTTCGAATTTGATCTCATAAGTAACGAACTCCAGTTTGTCACCTAAAACATCTCCTTCGATCAGTGAATATTTGGTCACCAAGTTCTTGTCGTCAATAACATGGATCTTGTGCTTCAAGTACTTGATAGGAGAACCTGCCATTTACAAACAGAAATAAGGCAATTATTGATCCCTTGTAATTTTAAAAAATCAAATATCCCCTATCCCTATACTTGGATGATGCACTTTTCTGAAATAGAAATCTCTTTAGCGCTCATCTCTGCCATTTTGTTTATTTAATTAACTATCTCCTCGGGAAGGGAGCCTTGGAGCAATGATAAAGTTATCTTCGTACGACCTGTAGGTCACGGGTTCAAGCTATAAAATCAGTCAATGATGTTTGTATTAGGGTAAGCTTCCTATATCATACCCCTTGATATACGACCCTTTCCTGAACCATGCATACATGCGAAATGCTTCTTGCACCAGGTTGCCCTTAAGTATTTCCTCTATATTGGATAATTTAAAAGTTCGCATTCAGATTGTGCCTTCAATCATCGTTATGCTGTCAGTGTATAGAAGCTAAACAGTGGCAGATATATATAGTACTCGAACATCAAGTTCAGCTGAACCTGCTACTTTCGATGTAGAGCATAAATTTATACATAAAAAATCCACTAAAATTGCAACAGATAGCATATCTGAACCCATAATTTTAAGGTTGAACCCATAGAACAATTAGACAAATATAAGATCATATATGGTAGAGATCATAAAAATTACCTTCAACAAAATTCATCTTCTTGATGCTTCCAGCACCACCATTACCCTCAACAATCTCAATGTTCTTAACAACTTGTGGCATCAATTTTGGGACAAGGTTTTCAGAATCAAGAACAATAGCTTTGAATAACCTAGTAGGGGCAACTGATGTTGTGACCTCATGGTTATAGGTAGTGACACCCATAATATTTTTGCCTTAGAGATATTTAATTAACCAAAAAAAAAAGAAAAAAATATGAATGTGGAAAAACTTATATAAGTTGCTTGAGAATGTTTTGAGGTGTATGATAATGAAAACTTAGATGGTATTTATAGGAGAAAAGGAGTGATTGTTCTGTGTTTTTAATCAGTAATTCCTTTATCTCAATTTCAACATTCAAAGTACTCCATTTTAGACATTTGTATCCATTTTTCTAGATGTTCTTGATCTGTACAATATTCTCTTTATGATAAATGGTCTAACAATGAGGCTTGCTGACACGTGGGTCTATGTACGTTATTTGTTTCAAACCTACCAAGTTGTCGTTTTACATTTTAACTTAATTAGCTGGCTCATCGATTAAGGTATGTTTAGTGCGATTAATTTCCTTTATCTAGCTTAATGATTTTTGCGTAATGTACCATAGGATGTCATTGGCGCATTATACCCAAAAATAATGGAATTAATTATCTCTTATTTATTAAGATCTGTTTGGACAATATTGTTTTATGCGGTCTTTCAACCGCTCACACATCTATCCCTGTCGCGCTCTCACTTTATCTCTATTATACAAAAAGAACCTAATAAAAGAAAATATAATATGATTAATTGTTGATTACTGATATGTGTAAATATTAGAGTTGCGCGTGGTTAATTAGGTAAAATAGACAACTCATAGAGCGTCATTTATGATAATTATTGATAAGATAGAAAAGTAACATTTAAGATAATACAACACTAATTTATAATCTCTAGTTAAAATGTATAATCTTTATATATCTAGTTACAGCAATTCTTTTTTTTTTAAATGTCGTAAATTTATTTAGTAATAATGTTACTAGTAGGGAAAGTGAGTCATGAGTGCATACAAAATTCCTGCTTTCACATTACCAATTTGCTTTACTTCATTAGTCAAGATTTTGTAAGACAATGTTTGGCTTAGTCAAGATGTCGACACATTAAAATATTTCACAGAAAATACGACGTTTGGCCTGCACTCATAGTCAATACATTGTCTTATGAAATCTTGACTAAGTAAAGCCAAACTATATACGTCCCCACAAGGGTCTATAAGTACTTGTACATAATCAAAAACAGCATAAATGAAATGCGGAAAGTCGTTGAAACCATATCCTTATCCTCCCACCCACCCAATTACCAAAGGACAACCAGCTAAAAAAGAATGAAAAATTAAAATTAAAATTGAAAATGTTATGAAATATATATTTATATACATGTCCATTAATTAAATATAACTCCCATTACTCTTCTCCATTATGTAGATAACCCCTATTACTTCTCACCATTATTATTGTAACTCTCACACCTCCATAACCTACCCATGATCTTCCTCCATGATCTCAAATGCTTAATAGCATATTTATGGAATTCTTTTGGTATATCTCAATGTTGTACTATAAATAGAGGATGAGAACTCATTTTGCAATACACTTGAATACATGGAAGAAATAGATTCTCTCCTCTCTTTCTTTCTATATCTCTTGTCTATTTTCTTGTTTTATGTTATTACTTTGAGCTTAGTTTCTTAACACGTTATCAGCACGATGCATCCTCCTTATGTTATGATGCATGATGAAGTGTGATTGGCACTTGAAAGGAGGGCATCCCTCGTAACGATTCACAAAAGGTTTAGTTCCAGCAAGAAGACGGTATCCAAGGTGGGTATTAAGATTATGAATGACGAGATTCTGCAGATAGCACCTTGTTCAGTTTTAGTAATTAAATTTTTCTTATCTAACTTTTTTTTTCCATATAATATATATGAGGTAAGTTTCCTTCACTTCATTTTTAACGCATAACTAGTATATGCTAATGGTCCAAGAATATTTAGACCGATTTAGAACTGTTATCATTATTCAATTATAATATTCTTTGTTGCACTACAAATTAAAGATGATAGTTTGCAATAAAAGGTAATTGCTATGACGGTAATTAAGTAAGATTTCTTCCTCTAACTTCTTTAACTTATATATTACCGTAATCCTATCACCTCTATATGCATGCACAACTTCGAATACAGATAATTGTTAGTTTATACAAATTAATATTTATATTTCATAGTTGTGGCAAAACTAATTTATGTATTATTATAATATTTTTGTTATGTTAAAGTTGAAAAAATTTGAGTATGTGATACTTGATTTGTTTTTCACCATCCCGATGAGGCTTGAATGAAAATTTATAAAACAATATGTAATCACAAAGTGGTATATTTTTAAATGCTCGAGGGTGAATACCAGTAAACTTTTAACTGAGGGTAAGACGGTGGGTTCAAGTCCCAACACACCATAAGGGTAAGATATTGGGTTCAAGTCCTGATGCACTATGATGATAAGAATTGGATTTGAGTCCCAATTCATTATAGCCTAACATGCCTTTATATGGGTAAGGCAATGGGTTTGAGTCCCAATGCACCATATTGATGATCTAATGATGACTAATGAAAATAATCTTTCATGACTGTATGAATGTACGAGGGCATGGCAAGCGACGAAATAATATAGTCATCATTATGGTAATTGTAAAAAGGAGAACGATAAGGGTTCTCAAAATGATCCTTCAAAGGTGAAGGAATATGTATCAATGCGGTCTGTTAATACGAGACACGTTCATATTATTATAGTCCATTCGTTGAAAATGTGACTTGTGATAAGCATTGTAAATGCAGGCTCATTCCTGAAAGTAAATGCTGAAATATATATGTGGTTAAAATTATGCATAAGAATGTGCTTATGTATGGTTGGATAAATACCACAACTCACCTCTAAGGGAGGTTTGAGAGAAATAAAGATAATGAATATTACAATATGGTTACATGAATATGTCATTGGTCGCGTACACATGGTACGCCAAAAATATTTTACCATGCCTTATAAAAAGTTATTAAAGGCAAAAGTAAAGCAAGAAATGAGTCTTGTCTATAATATTTTTGATTGTGACAATGATAAGATAATATTTTCTGTGAAGGAAAAATTCACCACTTGGATGGTGGTATAAAAGATCTTGTAGTACAAAATTATTGAGAGCTCCGAAAGAGCGAATTTGTTACTATCCGAATAAATAAAATTATTCATGGCATTGGTGGTAGTAAGTCTCAAAAAGGAACTTTTTGAGTTTCAAATATATTAGCCAAAGTGGTTAGCATATTAAGACTATAAATGAAAGGAAGATTGAATATCTTCATATTACTATAATCATACCGGATAAATATGAAAGGTTACCCGATTTTTCTTCTATTTGTACTACAGATGTATAAGCATGGTGATGGAATCACATGCCATAGTAAATTAAATATTTACTGAAACAAATATTAGTTGGCACGACCGGTTGGCCATCCCGGTTCAATTATGATGCGAAAATTAATTGAGAATTCACATTGGTATATATTGAAGAAATAGAAGATTCTTCAAGAATTCTCTTGTGCTGCTTATTTTTATGATACACCAGTCAAGGTTGGGATTGAATCCCTTAAAATTTGGAACGAATAAAAGGTGATTTTTATATATATATATATATGGGCCCAGTCACCTGCCGTGTGGACCGTTTACTATTATATGATTTTAAAAGATGCATTTATTGTATGGTCACATGTGCGTTTGTTGTCAACTTGCAGTTTGGCTTTTGCAAGGTTGTTTGCTCAAGTTATTAGAGCACAGTTCCAGAATATAAATTATGATAATTTATTTTGATAATGCTGGTTTAAATCAAAGTTGGTTTAGCAGAAATGGTATGCCTCCAATTAAGCTAAACCATTGGTTATGAGAATAAAACTCCCAAATTGAAATTTGGTATGAGGTATATTATTTAATATACAACATCACTTGTACGCATCTAGCCAACAGTTATGATAAATTCTCCCTATCACAATTGGTTCAGGGTCAGGAACCAAATAATTTCTATATAGAAATATGGATGTGCGATATGATATAATTATCCCACCACAATGCACAAAGATTGGTCCCCAAAGAAGGTTGGGGATATGTGTTGGTGATCCGGACATTTGGGGGAGAAAATGAGCAGCTGAAAAACTAATACATGGAATGAATTATTATGAGTACACTTAGATCCTCGTACAAGAAAATAATGAACTT